AATAAACAGTTGCTCAATCAACTATTCATGAGGCATAAAAACATGGCTTTGTTCCTTACCTTCTAAATTTGGTGTTTAATCCTTCTGTAAACCTATCATTTACTGTGTTAATATTGGCACCACATACTTATGCTCGAACTCGATTTGCCTCATGAATGAAATATATAGTAATAAATTTTCATTTTGTTCAAGACAAACTATAGTATGTTCATTTTATAACTTTAAGTTATAACTTAATTTATGACTTGAGTTATGTATGTGAGAGAAAAACAGTGTAGTAAAAAAAGTTAAATTTAAATTTTTATGAGAGAAAATACTGCAACAATAAAACTTGAGTTGTGAAATGAACAATGACAAATTAAAGATCTATGCATGGCACATGTCTCTTTAGCCAAATAACTTGAAGATGTCATTTTACTGATTTGTGATCTCCGCTATTTTGTGTGTCTCCACCCAAAAAAAAAAAGGAATGACGAGACAAAAATATTCTTAACTATTTTTTGAAAAATATTCGAACTTTTAAAATTTAATAAATAAAATAGAACATAAGATTTCAAATACAAAATCTCATATTCGAAAGTCCAAGTAGTTTATAATATTTTTTCTGAAGTTCTTCTCGATAAAAAAATGTTGTGTTTTGTATATTGTTTAATATTTTTCAACAAATCAGCATAATTAAGGTTATATTTGTCTTTGCACTCGTTTTTTGGTCCATAAAGTGCGTAAAAAGTGAAATTGAAATAAGTTTTCGAATTCAAAAATATTTTAGTAGTTTCTAAAAACAATAGGTAAATTGTGAAAAAGAAAACTAATGCTATAAATGTATTTAGGTAATTAACCCTTAGTTATTCTAGGTGAATAATTTTGTTATTTTAACAAACTAACTCATTCATGATACTTAATCTCTGTTTATTTGGAGGGTTTAGAAGGGTTTGAACCAAAAGTGGGTTCACATTCTTGTTTGGTTGTATGAAATTTTGAGTTTGAACCTGGATTTAAGGTTCATTTGAATCAAAAATTGAAGGTTGAAGAGAACATCCCTTAAGTTCTTAAGGTTCTAACCTAAAATACTATTCATAAAACTAACTCAAATGTTCCTACCAACTATTTTCGCTCACACATATTTTTTTTTATATAAAAAAACGTTGCAACTTTATTTCTTGTTCAGACCTTAAATTATCAAACGCCAGTTCAAATCATAAAAAATTCACATATAGGTTCAAATCCACCAATTTGAATCTTCAAAGCAAACGGGACCTTAAATACTAGTCCCAATGAAGGCCAACTTGCTGTTTTTTCAATTGTCTGAGTTTATCCTTTATAACATATAGCTTAAAACACAATTTAATTTTTTTTGTCTTATCAATTCGGTCGTTGAGTAATGCATATGAATAAATGGCATTTGGACCCAGCTAAAATGGAAGAATTGTATATTGAAGTCGTTGCATTGACTTGTAGAAATATATTCTTATAATTTTTAATTTGCTCGTATGCTCCTTTTTTTTTGGGTTATTTATGGGAAAAAATATTATAAATCAAGAAACAAAGTCCTACTGCAAGCGAACTGGCTAGAAAGCCAGCCACGAAAAAAAATCAACCCGCCTCGATGGCCAAGTAGTTTTCATTCAAAAAATAAAAATATAGTTTTCAGGTTAAACTCTTTATTTGGTAGAACCAAAAAGAAAAATATATCGGAGGGATATGAGTGGGAGACATATAGATTACAAGGAACAACATACATAAAAACAGGATATATGATTATGAATGGATAGATTACACAAATTTACAATCGGGAGAAATTAACTTTCCTTAAATTTAATCACGTGGAAGACATAAAAATGAGAAAATGTTATTTTATATTTTATACAAAGAATTATTTCCAAAAGAAACTTAGAATTATGCATGGATATATTATTTAATTTATTACATGCGCAGATTATAGAAAACTAAAGTTTTCTGTTAATTTCTTCTTACTTTTTTTTAATGTATTGGCAAACACATGTTCTTTATTTTTACACACAAACTAGTCAAAAATGGGCACTCCAGTGTATGACTTATTTAAAACAACAGTTATACAAATTATTTTTAAAAAAAAGATAAAAGTGGGAAAAAGATCTAAAGCGGAACGTAAGAAAAAAAGTTTAAAAAAAAAAAAAAAGAAACGTTTCGCTTGATGAAGGGAAAAAACCCCTAGTGAAACATTTCGCACATGCCTCTCACGCATGAAATGTTTTGAAAATACTAAGGGAGAAAATTATTCTACCTTAATAATGTAGGAAAATTAAATAAAGAATCGAGAAAATCGGGTAAATGGCTGTTTTTATCACATTTTTAATAAATTTTCAAACTTTTATTTTTTACATAAATGACTGAACTTTTTTATTTTAGCAAAATGACCAGTAGTTAATCAGTGATTAATCGATGATCAATCAATGATGAACTAATTCATTATTATAATTTACTAATGATGTGTCATTAATAAATATGTAATTTGTTGATTTAAATTGATTAATTACTAAATGATTTCGATTAATTATTAACTGATATTGATTAATAATATAAAACCGTCGATAATTAAGTCAATCAGTGTTAACGCTAAGTCAATTAATGATTGACTACTAAGTTAATTAGTGATTGAATACTAAGTCAATAAAAAAAGGGTCATTTTTGCTAATTTTATAAAACTTCATTTATTTATTTTTTTTAAAAATCCTTTAAAAAAAAAGGTGATTTGCCTCTTTATCCCTAAAGAAACCTGCATAACCATTGGTTATATTATTCTTTTTCTCAAGCAGAGTAATAGATAAGTAATTAAAGAGAGAGAGAAAAAAAGCTAGCTTTTTTTTTTTTTTTTTTTTTGGGCCAAAGAGAAAAGTTAGCATGGATTGAAATCAATTTCATGAAACATGGGTGAGCCCACTGCAATCACATGCATGTATTCTTAACCCACGTAATAATTTCCACACCTCACTCTCTCCAACAAAGCAAGACCGTCGATTTTACTCGTGAGGCCTCATCATCATTGTTCTCATTTCTCGTGTTGGCAATGGGAACTCACCCATTCAAAGTCTCTGTTTTATAAATTGAAGAGAGAGAGAGAGAGAGAGAGAGAGAGAATTAGTTATGAAAACATCCTATTAACATGATTTGATTGTATTAATTTTTTTGCCGGGTTCGTATACCTTTTTATTTTAAGTAGATTCAAATATTCATTATTTAGAAAATTTTTGCATTAGCAGTGATATTCTATCGTTGAAAGTTTTTCTAACACACACACATATATAAATTTTCCTCTTTTTAAAAAGGAAAAAAAGAAAACCATATATCTAAAGCATATAGTTTAATTTCTTAAAAAAAAAAAACAGCATATAGTTTAATAACTGTGGATGTTTTGATGTGTCAACTGCGACAACTACTAATTATTACTGAATTTCGATTGTGATTCAGCACAAAAAAACATTACGAATGGACGCGCTATAACGAGGTTTAATCGCTTTATTGGTTTTTAATAAACAAAAAAAGAAAGGAAAAATTACTTAAGATCAACTTATCCAGCGATATATACGAGGAAAGACATTATTTCCTTTTTTTTTTTTCATTTAAGATAGAACCTTATCTCTTTTTAGAGTACATTACTTTTTTTGATAAGCAAGGAACATAACATTATTCAGCATTATAATCTCTTGTACTATTGTCTGTTGTCTTGTGGCAGGCTTACCTAAATTTCTTGTGTTACGTTTTTTATTGTATAAATATTACTTTTAATGACTTTCATATTATGTTTTTCACTTGTACATTACATTAGAGGGGCTTCTCATTAGAAAGACCGTAGAAAAGCTTTGTATATAAATACATTTTTTTGCCAATCAAAATATTAAAGAAAAATATATTTTACCCACATTTTTCAAAAAAAAGAAAAATCAAAGAACGTTAACATCAATTAGTGGTTGAAAATAGGGCTCGAGACCCTAGTAAAGCTTTGTTTAATAAAGCAAATAATGTGTAAAAATTTTATTAAGGGATTGGCCCTCCAATTTCAGTCATTAGCTGGTGTTAATTAGCTTTGTGATATGGATGAACACATAAATTTGTAGACTTAATAAAAAAATACCAAGATCGATATAACAAATATCCATAAATAAACTATAGAGTTAATGGTTCGATTAAAGAGTATGGGAGATTTTTCAAGTACTTTGTTCCGATTAGAGTGCACATTACTCCACAAAAGAGATAAATTTTTTATGCTCTTTTAGAATGTCGTTTTCCTTCATTATATTATTATTTTCTTCTAATTTATATGATAACGAATCTAGTATTAATAACAATCTTGAATGCTTTCTGTTTAAAAAACAATCTTGAATGCCTTCAAATATAGGCCCGCTTTAGAAGCTACAAAGTGTTTACCCAAAAAAAAAAAAAAAAAAAAAAAATACCGAAAGACCGTGAAACGCCGACCATGAAATCACAGTCAAATCCAGGTTCGAGTGGACGAATCTTATCGTTATGATAAATTGAGATCCAAGTGTACATCTACTTTTATTTTTCTTATATAAAGATTAAAACTGCATAATAAATAATAATAGAAGAAAAGAAACGAAAAAGTTGAGAGAATGGAGAGTTTGACATGAAAGATATGCATTAGTGTTTAATCCTCCACAATTGGGGGCAAGTTTTAAATTATTATGATTTTCCTCTCGTTGTAAACGAGTGAATTTTGGAAACAAATATTAAAATCACATAAATGTTTTTGAGAATACGCCTAAAATTATATATCACACATTTTTTAAGGAATTATGTGAGATTTTAGCTAACGACAATAACCTTACGACAATAACGATAGTTGTTGTATTTATTTCTTTTTTTGGGTTTTAAAAAGCGAGGTAAAACCATTTCCGAGTAATTATTAAAGAAACCGGCAAAGAAGTAATAGGAAAAGAAAGAAAAAAATGACATATAAAATGACTTGGCGGTTGAATCCAAACACACAGAGAGAAAAAGAAAGTGACAGAGAAAGTCTCTGAGAAAATAAAAACACACACAACAACACACGCACGCACACGACTACGCGGCCATTAGCGAAGCATCGAAACCTAACGGTCCTTCCATCCTCGCGTTGAAAACTCACACGCTTCAAAATCACTCTCAAGCTCTTCCAAATCTTCCCCTTTTTCACCTTCCATTTCTCCATTTTCTTTCCCTCCAAACACCGGCCTCGTCTCCGATCAAGGCGTCGTTGGAATGTCCGGGACTCGATTCGTTATCGGTTTTCGAGCCGATTCTCCGTACGATCCGGAATCGAAAGCGCCGGGATTCGGGGCTTGAATTCGGTATCTCAGGGTTTTGGTGCTGGATTTTATGGGTTTGGTAGCTTGAGGAGGACTGGAATTGGATTCGATTGGAAATGAGCTCGCAAAAGCAGCACGTGACGATTCGCGACCTCGCCGAGGAAGCCAAAAAGCGGATTGTAGTTCTGGTCATATGCGTTGTGGGTTTGTCGTACCTCATGTCGTGTAATTTTCTTCTACTTCTTGTTATTTTACTTCAGTTTTTTGATTTTTTGTTTGGTTGGATTGGTAAAGTGTGCGAATTTCGTCCGGTTATGTTCAATTTTGTGCAGAATTTTGTCTCTTCAATTAGTAAGTTTAGAATATACGTTGCATTGTTGATTTTGGTTAAGCACAGATGTTATGTTCAGATTTCAAATAGTGAGTTTGAATGGGAATTATTAGTGGGATTTAGACTTTTGCTCTATCAAAGGGTGGGAATTTGTGTGTGTGTTTTTTTTTCTTTTCCTCTCTTCAAGGAGTTTTTGTAGATGGCATTGTTGATTGTAACCTTTATGATGTTTTCTTTCTTTGAGATATTACTTATACTGTTATTATTCCAGTGACAAGCTCCTCTGTTTGGGTCAACTTGCCTGCCGCTGCTTCCTTGATTCTCGTCCTTCGATATCTTTCGCTGGATTTTGAAACAAAAAGAAAAGCTGCAGCTTACAACAGCAGACAATCTTCAGAAAATACTCTTTCTCAAAAGAAAGCTCCCGAACGGCCCAAGGTTGTTGACGTTTCTGCGTGGAGAAGGAAAGTAAAGTCGCCTGTTGTTGAGGATGCAATAGATCACTTGACAAGACACATAGTATCTGAGTGGGTGACGGATCTCTGGTACTCGCGTTTGACACCCGATAAAGAAGGTCCAGAGGAACTCGTGCAAATTATAAATGGCGTCCTTGGTGAAATTTCAGCACGAATGAGAAACATAAATCTAATTGATCTTCTGACAAGGTTTTAGCTCCAGAATGTCTCACGCTAGTTTCCTTTGATTTTGAATTTCGTTTATAGGATGTTGTCGATTATGATAGATTTTATCTTCTATTTATTAAGGATAATTATTAGGAGTGTTATCTTTTAATAAGAGATTTGAATTAATATTCAAGTCTTATAGCTTATCTTATTAGTTTATCTTATCCTTTAGAAGGGATAATTAGTTTCCTAGTTTATGGCTTATCAGTAGGTTTCCTTACTTCTTATATATATTCACGTACTCTTTAATAAAATAAACAATATTGATTATTCTTCTCAAAACTGTTATGGTATCAGAGCCACGGCTCAAAATCTAAACCTCCATATGGATTACAAAATAGCGATGACTGGAAGGAATACCTCCTCCGGCAGTGACTCATCATCTACCACCGAAAGGACCCAATTGGAATCCACAGTATCAGCCAGCAAAGTAGAGTACCTATCTTCAAACTTTTCTCTCCAATTGACTATCCATAAGCTGAATGGCAGTAATTATTTAGAGTGGGCTCAGTCCGTTAAACTGGCCATTGACAGTTGAGGAAAACTCGGCTATTTAACTGGCGAAGTGAAGCAACCAGCAACAGGGGATCCGAACCTGAAAACATGGAGGTCAGAGAACTCTTTGACGATTGCGTGGCTCATCAATTTCACGGAACCAGCCATTGGAAAGCCACATCTATTCCTACCCATAGCCAAAGATGTCTGGGAAGCAGTCCGTGACATGTATTCGGATGTGGAAAATTCATCCCAAATTTTCGAATTGAAAACGAAGCTTTGGAAGTCCAGACAATGAGACTGCGACGTTACATCTTATTATAATGAGATTGTACCACTTTGACAGGAATTGGATCTTTGCTATGAAGATGAATGGGACTGTCCAACTGACAGTGTTCGCCATAAGAAAATAGAGGAGAATGATCGAGTATATGTGTTTCTTGCAGGTCTTAATAAGGAATTAGATGAAGTACGAGGCCGAATCCTAGGAAGGAAACCACTGCCTTCCATCAGGGAAGTTTTCTCTAAAGTAAGAAGAGAGGAAACCAAGCACAAAGTAATGCTGAAGACTTTTGAACCTAAAAATAGTCCTAAGGTTGAGAGTTCGGCTTTAGTGTCAAAAGGAAGTGACTAAAAGAAGAAGAAGCCCTGGTGTGACCACTGCAAAAAACCAAAGAGACTTGCTGGAAACTCCATAGGAAACCACCTCAGAGTCAAAAGAGGAGAAACGAAGGAGAAAATAGAGCCTTACAAACTGTGAATGAAGACTCTCAAGGGCAACAATTCACCTCAGAGGCATCTCCCTTCACTAAGGAACAACTATACCACCTGTACAAGCTATTTCAATCTCCACAGTTCTCAGTAAACTCTTCTTGCTCTTTGGCCCAAAAGGGTAACTATCTTACCGTAGCCTTTTCTTGTGATAAATTTAATCCATCTCATTCATGGATTATTGACTCAGGTGCAACCGATCATATGACCGGTTCTTCAAAATTATTTTCATCGTATAACGCTTGTGCAGGCAATAAGAAAATTAAAATTGCAGATGGGTCATTGTTAATAATAGCTGGAACAGGGTCAATTGTTATCTCTCCTTCTCTTACCCTCCAAAATGTTCTTCATGTTCCTAATCTCTCATGCAACTTATTATCCATTAGTAAAATAACCAGTGACCTTAAGTGCCAAGTTAACTTCTGTCAATCTTATTGTGAGTTTTAGGAACTAACCACAGGGAGGATGATTGGCAGTGCTAGAGAAATTGAAGGACTTTATTTCTTTGAAGATGGACCAAGTTCAAAAAGGGCAGTACAAAGTACATGTTGTGGAACTGTCTCTATTACTAGTTATGAAGAAATGATGTTATGGCACTATAGACTAGGCCATCCGAATTTTTATTATTTAAAAAGATTATTTCCAATTTTGTTTAGAAATAAAAATCCATCTTTGTTTCAATGTGAAGTATGTGAATTGGCTAAGCATCATCGTTCTACTTTTCCCTTACAACCCTATCAACCCTCAAAACCTTTTGTGCTCGTCCATAGTAATGTTTGGGGACCTTCTAGGATTTTAACACCCTCGGGAAAAAGGTGGTTTGTCACGTTCATAGATGATCACACTAGAGTAAGTTGGGTATATTTGTTGAGAGATAAGTTTGAAGTTGAAAATGTGTTTAAAAATTTTTACTCTATGGTTTTAACTCAATTTCAAACAAAGATTCAAATTTTACAAACGGATAATGGAAAAGAATATTTCAATAAAATTTTAGTATCTTTTTTCTTAGAAAAAGGCATTGTTCATCAGAGTTCTTGTAATGATACTCCTCAACAGAATGGTGTGGCTGAACAAAAAAACCAACACCTTTTAGAAGTTGCAAGGGCCTTACTATTTAAAAATAATGTCCCTAAGTATCTTTGGGGGGAAGCCATTTTGACAGCCACTTATTTAATAAATCAGATGCCTTCTAGGGTTCTACGTTTTCAAACACCATTAAATATTTTCGAAACTAATTACCCTACATCCAGACTTACCTCTACACTCCCTTTGAAAATCTTTGGATGTATTGTTTTTACACATAATCATGAGCATAATCGAGGGAAACTTGATCCTGGGGCTAGAAAATGTGCCTTTGTGGGATATGCCCCGACTCAAAAAGGATATAAATGCTATGATCATATTTCCAAAAAAAATGTTTATCACCATGGATGTAACCTTTTTTGAAAATAAATCTTTCTTTGAATACCATCTTTAGGAGGGGAGAAAAAGGGAAGATGAGGATGATGATACTCTTGATGTTTTTAATAAACCCGGATTCAAACTTGAATTTAGAAACCACTGTTACAAAATCTAGTACAAATCCGGATGAGGAAAATCAGACTTTAGAATCCGAATTTGTACCAGAATTTCCTAACCAAGACCAGGCTGTACATGAAAACAAGGGCTGAAAATATTTCGGACCGGACATCCCTAGTGCCATCACCCAAATTAAATCTCACTGGTGAAAAGAATGGGACCAAAACAGGTACCAACATGCTAACCTATTCAAGGAGAAAATCTTCAAAGGAAAAAGGTCCTATCTCTTTACACAACCATGAATCCGAACCAAGGGAGGAACCTAAACAGTCCGAAATTCCAGGTAACAATCAAACTGAGTTCGTCCCAAAAGTTTAATCTAATCCTGAGTCTTGTAATGATCTTGATGTCCCTAGTGCTGCCCGGAAGGGCATTCGTTCCTGCACTAGGCACCCCATGTCTAACTATATTTCCTATGAAAAGTTGTCTCCTAATTTCTTAGCCTTTACTTCACAACTTTCTTCTGTGGAAATTCCAAAAAGTGTACAGGAAGCTTTACAGGTTCCCGAGTGGAGGAAGGCTGTCTATTAGTAGATGAGAGCCCTAGAGAAGAATCAAACATGGGAAGTGACGGATCTGCCACAAGGAAAAAGGATTGTGGGCTGCAAGTGGGTCTTTACAGTCAAATATAACTCGGATGGAACTCTTGAACGATACGAGGCTCGCTTGGTGGCCAAAGGTTTTACACAAACCTATGGCATTTACTATCTTGTGACCTTTGCCCCAGTAGCCAAGTTAAATATAGTGAGAGTACTTCTCACAATTGTAGCAAACCTTGATTGACCTCTTCAGCAGTTAGATGTAAAGAATGCGTTCCTGAATGGAGACTTGGAGGAAGAAGTGTACATGGCCTCTCCACCTGGGTTTGAAGAGAAGTTTGACTCCAAAGTTTGCAAACTAAAAAAGTCCTTATATGGGCTCAAGCAATCTCCGAGGGTCTGGTTTGAAAAATTTACTCATTCGGTGAAAAATCAGGGATATGTCCAAGTTCAGAGTGATCACACCATGTTTATGAAACACTCCAAGGATGGTAAAGTGGCGGTCTTAATAGTGTATGTAGATGACATTATTCTCACTGGTAATGATGTCGCAGAGATGGAGCAGTTAAAGAGAAGATTAGCCTCAGAATTCGAGATCAAAGACTTGGGAACCCTGAAATACTTTCTAGGAATGGAGGTTGCAAGATCAAGAAAAGGGATTGTTGTCTCGCAAAGAAAATATGTGCTAGATCTTCTCAAAGAGACTGGGATGAGCAGATGCAAGCCTGCAGATACTCCACTAGATCCGAACCAAACATTAGGTGATTGTAAGGATGGAGCACCAATTGACACAGCTCGGTACCAGAAGTTAGTGGGAAAGCTGATTTATTTATCCCACACCTGACCTGACATAGCCTTTGCAGTAAGTGTTGTGAGTCAGTTTATGCACTCTCCTTGTAAAGAACATCTTGAAGGAGTATATCGAATTTTAAGATACCTTAAAGATAAATCGGGAAAATGATTGTTGTTTAAGAAAGGCGAAGAAAAGACTATTGAGGTTTACACTGATGCAGACTGGGCAAGTTCCATTACAGATAGAAGGTCTACATCCGGTTATTGCACTTTTGTATGGGGCAATTTGGTTACATGGAGGAGCAAAAAGCATAATGTAGTTTCCCGGAGTAGCGCAGAAGCTGAATACCGAGCCATGGCACATGGAGTATGTGAGATATTGTGGATCGAGCGGATTCTTGACGAACTTAGAAGACCAGTTGAGATGCCAATGAAGTTGTATTGCGACAACAAAGCTGCAATTAGTATTGCTCACAATCCTGTGCAACATGATCGAACCAAGCATGTTGAGATCGATCGTCATTTTATAAAGGAGAAGCTGGAGGTTGGAACTATCTGTATGCCATTTGTTCCTTCAACACAACAAATAACTGATATTCTTACCAAGGGACTCTTCAGACCGAACGTCGAGTTTCTCACAAGCAAGTTGGGCATGTTGAACATCTATGCACCAACTTGAGGAGGGGTGTCGATTATGATAGATTTTATCTTCTATTTATTAGGGATAATTATTAGGAGTGTTATCTTTTAATAAGATATTTGAATTAATATTCAAATCTTATAGCTTATCTTATTAGTTTATCTTATCCTTTAGAAGGGATAATTAGTTTCCTAGTTTATGGCTTATCAATAGCTTTCCTTACTTTCTAAATATATTCACGTACTCTTTAATAAAATAAGCAATATTGATTATTCTTCTCAAAACTGTTAGATGTTTACTGGGGAGTGGGTACTGAAGCTTATCGAATGGTGCAGGGATCTGATTAATCTCATTTGTACTTACTTGGAGCTCTTCCGCGCAACTCAAGCGAAGGTTAAAAAGCAAGCAGAACCGCTAACAAGTGAACACCTAGACATAGAACTAAGGCTCGTCCTGGCTGCTGAGAACAAGTTGCACCCTGCTTTATTTTCTGCTGAAGCTGAGCATAAGGTTGCTTACTTTCTTCCTCCTTCCCTGTCTTTAGATCCTGAGTTGGTAGTTAGCCCAGCAATCTGTGAATCTTACCTGGAAGATTTAAAATATCTTCCCAGTTGTGGTGACATTACGTTTTGTATTTTTTTAGGTTTTGCAGCATGTGATGGACGGTCTCATCTCCTTCACATTCAGGCCTGAAGACTTGCAGTGCTCTTTCTTCCGTTACGTTTCTAGGGAGCTTCTTGCTTGTGCAGTAATACGACCTGTCCTGAACTTAGCGAGTCCAAGGTATTCACTATTCACTCCTTTTAATTTGCTTCCTACATTGTCATCATTGTTGCACTTAATGTTTCTCTCCAACTGTTGGTTATAGGTTTATTAATGAGAGAATCGAATCTCTAGTTATTAATATGACCAAGTCTAAACAAGCAGTTAGTGCAACACACGAGGAAGCTCAGCCTAAGTCAGATGGGCCTACAAAGATTTCACCTGATCATTTTTCCAAGTTCTTAGATCCTTCTGTTAAAGGTGTTGAACTTGTGCAGTTAAACAATAATAAGTCAAGAGGTGTTGGAGAGACACAAGCAGCAGATTGTGCCAATGGAAACCTTTCAAAAGATCCATTGCTTTCGATTGATACTCGATCTACTCGGTCATGGAGCCCACTGCCCATGAACTCCGAGAATAGTGATGAAGGCGGTCTTCAACGACACCGCTCTGGAGGAGAATGGGGTGATATGCTAGATATGATTTCTCGCAGAAAAACTCAAGCCCTGGCTCCTGAACATCTAGAAAACATGTGGACGAAGGGAAGGGACTACAAAAGGAAGGAAGGTGAAAATCGGTTAATTGAGGAAGGTTCACAGGGTTCTTCCCATGCAACTGTAACGAAGCTTAGTTCTTCTGAGAGCAGCTACATCCAGTCCAGATCTTCTGATCATTTTAAGGAGGTGAAGTCATCCCGCCTCGATGTTCAGGACACAAAAAGTTTCTCCCTTGTTAATCCATACCAGGAAGATGATGAACAAAACCTTATGCTTATGGAGGAGGTGGAGTTGGGAAGTAGCACTTCTTATACTTCTGAAGAAGAAGAAAATAGCAGTGTAATGGGTCTTAATTCTCCTGGAACTAAAGTGTGGAATGGTAGAAATAATAGAAATAAAACAATATCTCATATTCATCACCCACTTGAAGATGCCAAGGGCCGTAAGAAAACTGCCAAGGGACATGTTCACTATCAAAGATTACATAAAACCCATAGTGGCCGCAAAAGATTTAGACCAAGCAATGACAAGGTGCACATCTGGCAGGAGGTTGAGAGAACAAGCTTCTTGTCTGGAGATGGGCAGGATATACTTGGTTCTTCAATAGGACATGCAAGTGACGAGGACTTTAGTGGTGATTCGGATATGGAAAATTTGGGTAGGGCTCACAGTGGTGCAGCTGCTTCTTCATCTGCACCTTCTACTTCTGTTGCGGAAAGGCATGGTCTAGTTGTCAATTCCCTAAAAAATTCATTGGCAGTTGATTCCTTTTATAAGTTGAGATGTGAGGTACGTCCATTAAAACTTGAAGGTTTTCTCAAGTATCTGCTAAATTCTGTTTTCTATGCGTGATGCATGTTTAAAAAAAGAAAAAAAGAAAAAAAAAAGAAGTGAAACTTATTTCGTTTTGCAGGTATTGGGTGCAAATATTGTGAAGAGTGGTTCAAGAACATTTGCCGTGTATTCCATATCTGTTACCGATGTCAATAATAATAGCTGGTCAATCAAAAGAAGGTACCATGGCTCATGCTAATGAACCTTACTTTTCTCCTTGGATGATGTGTTTTCTGATTTTTCCAACATGTTAAAACAGTAGTTTTTAATAATTTTTCATTACACTTAGCTTTTAAAACTCACTTTGTATAGGTTTCGTCATTTTGAGGAACTACATCGGCGCCTTAAAATATTTTCAGAATATAATCTTCACTTGCCACCGAAGCACTTCCTGTCAACTGGTTTGGATGTACCCGTCATTCAAGAACGGTGTAAATTACTTGACGATTATTTAAAGGTTGATCTCAAAGAGATCACTTTATTTTATTCTCTCTGTTTTTTATTGACTTACTCATATTGATTGTGAGAGTCAACTACATGATATGAAAAGTGGAAATAATATCTACATCAGAAATACTTTGGAGTTTAAACATTATCTATGTTGGGATATCATGCGGCACCCCTTTTTTTTCATGCTGTTACGTCAACTTTGTGTGATTTGGCATCAGAACTTGGTTGTTAAGTTGTAGGTCATCATAATCAGCATAACCATATGTCTATGTGAAGTCAGCTTTGTGCATTCTTTTGGGCATTTAACTATTACTGTTCTCTATTGTGTTATAAGTGGACTGGAAAGCATGCATTCACTCATGCATCTATGTCGAACATAATTCGCTCTATATGGAATTTAAGTGAGCTAACCAATGAAACATGTTTACCGAAAAATAAAAGAAAGAAAGAAAAAAGAAAAACCCTGTGATATCTTCTCTAGCTTATGGAGCAAGTTTGTCTTTTTCTAGACTAATGATTTTTTCTTCCCATGTTCATAATCTCTCCCCGCAGAAGCTTATGCAGCTTCCAACAATTTCTGGGTCAATTGAAGTTTGGGATTTTCTAAGTGTTGATTCTCAGGTTCAGATTTTTCTTTTCCTTTTATACCGTATACTAATAACTAAGTCAGAAGTTATATCATGGTTTTACAGGTGGAGAATTCTTACTATTTTATATTATTTAATGCAGACGTATATCTTCTCTAATTCCTTTTCCATTGTTGAAACTTTGTCAGGTCAGTCATGAACAATGCACAAGTTCGTTGATTTGTAGTTTCTTTTCCTTTCTTCATACCGGTTTTAATTTCAATTTCATTTTATGACTTTTACACGATGGGAACTTTATAGTTGATCTGAATGGTAAGCCTTCCGAAAAAAATAAAGGGATTTCAAACTCTGGTGGACCTGTGAATGTGACTGATCTCTCCACCTTGAAGAGAGAACATCTAAGAAATGAAAGTAGGGAGCCTGCATTGCAGATGAAGAATAATGCTGCCTCAGATGGATTTAGATTGAATGTAAAAGGCCTCTCTTTTCCCCCTTCAAAAATTCCTGGTAAAGAATTTGACAATTCTGGTAGTGATTCAGAAACTAGGGCACCAAAAGATCCGTCTTCACTCAGAAACTTGGGAAGGGCTGTAAAAGGAAAAGAGAGTCATAGTTCGGAGGCGGCATCGGAGTTACCATTGGATGCTGCTGCTGACCTGACACTTCCTACGGAGGTAAATTACTGAGTTATCATCTACCGATCCCTTTCTTAAAGACTTTTAGTTAGCTCTGAGCCATGTTGTATGGACCTTGTACTTCCCATGTGAATTTTTTTATGTGACTATGATAGATCAAACTTTTTCCTCATCACTTTTTCCCTTCCTATGTAAATGGACACTAAAATTTTTGTTCGGACAATATTTGATGATTCTATCTCATAACGTGCAACTCTTCTCTTCAGTGGGTGCCACCAAATGTAAGTGTTCCTATACTAGATTTAGTGGATGTCATTTTCCAGCTCCAAGATGGCGGGTGGATCAGGTATCTCATGTATTTGATTGTGGAGTTGTCTCTTCTACCTGGGCATGCTATTTGATTCATATAACATCTTGATCCGATGAGTTTATTCTGAGTGATTAAGTTGTGAAATTGCAGGCGAAAGGCTTTTTGGGTAGCAAAACAAGTCCTGCAACTGGGAATGGGTGATGCCTTCGATGACTGGTTAATAGAGAAAATCCAACTTCTGCGTAAGGGAAGAGTAGTTGCTTCCGGGATCAAGCGTCTTGAACAGGTACCTTTCCATTCCATTTTCTTTCTATAAGCAGAGAAAAGAAGTGGAAGATCGGTCAACTAATCTTTACTACATTGCACACTTTCCAGCTGCTTTCTTTCCTTTCCACCTTCTCATTTGGTTTCTACAGATACTCTGGCCTGATGGAATATTCCTAACCAAGCATCCAAAGAGACGCCCACCCCCGTCCGCAAACGCATCCCAGAGTTCACCTAATGGCCAACAACATGCGGAAGTATCATCACCTAGAATGGATGATGAGCAGCAACAAGAGGCAAACCGACGTGCAAAGTTTGTATATGAGCTAATGATTGGTACTGTTTTGTCCTTCCAGATCCCTACCTTTTGCACTTAAACTCAATCCATTGTACTTGAGATATAAATGCCTGCCCGAATTTGGAACATTAATGGTCTCTATCTCTTTTCTTTCTCTGGATGCAGACAAAGCACCGGCTGCTATTGTTGGTCTCGTGGGTCATAAGGAATATGAACAGTGTGCGAAGGATCTCTATTTCTTTCTTCAGGTAAGTATTATTGTTCCCCAAATTTGATCAGTTAAATCATCTTTTTGTCCTAATGAACAATTCCCAATCATTGCTTACTAAATTGTGTTAAACATTATTATATCTGGACTTGTAGTGACCACCTTTTTTCTTGTGCAGTCATCTGTTTGTTTGAAGCAACTGGCTTTTGATCTTCTCGAACTGCTTTTATTGTCAGCTTTCCCAGAGCTGGATTACATTTTTAAGCAGTTGCATGATGAAAAACATAAGTTTGTCGAGTCCACACCCAGCTAAGCGTTATTATCGATTGCCAAGATCAAGCTGCATTCATATTTTTGTTTCTTTTTCTTTCACCAGGTATATAGCCCGACAACACGATTCTGTTGTCAGATTGAGTTTTTTGTAAATGAAATTCTTCGTTTGAGCTTGTGAAGGGTTGATTCATTCTTAGGCCTGAGCTCTGCATTAAGCCTTTGATTTTGGTGTCTGGAGGAAATTGTACGTAGACAACCAAGAGATCAGAGAAAATATATGAATAGTTTGTGTATAAGGCATCTTTTATCTTTGAATCAGTTTTGTTTTGTTTTTTTGTTTTTTGTTTTTTTTCTCCCCTTGTATCCATTATGGCGGTCATTTTTATTTGTTGAAATTTTCGCGCTACTACTAGATGGTGCTTGAATGAGTTCATCCACATTCAGTGGACATAATTTTTTTTATTTTTTATGTACCAATGGAATATATTGACGACCAAGACGAGGTTTCATAAATGAATAATGGGGTTTTTAGTACGATTGTTCTCTGAATTTGTCGTGGTTAAGTAAATTGTGTCTAAACTTTTAAGCTCCATTTATTTCACCGATTTGAGTTTTGCAACAGTAAAAACTCTCAAAAACAGTCATATTTAACTTTTTTACTACAGTCAAAAGTTTTTACATAAAGTCACATCTCAACTCGAATCAGCAAATTAAACGGTACCTTAGTTACTTTTAAATTTTTTACTTTGTCCCATTTTATTAATTTTTCTCAAAATTTTTATTAAATTTAAAGGATTAGAAGTTGAGGAATTGAAAAATGTGTGTTACATTTAAATTAAGGATAAAATCAAATTGGTATCATGTAATAAAACATTAAGTTAGTACTTTGTATTTTTTATAATATTAAAATGGTACTTTTAAATTTTAGAAAATATTTTTTCAATATCTTGTGACTCTTTTATGGGATGTAAAATGACAATTTTGCCCCTATTAATATTATCTCATTTTTCTAACATGAATTTCAATTTCATTTTTTCATTAATTAGTTAAAAATTGTCCTTATCATTAATTAGTTAAAAACTAAAATAATTTAAAGCATTAAAAAAAACTCATATCCCTATACGCCAAAGACTAAGGGCCTGTTTGTTTTCATTTTTGAAAACGTTCTTCACGTTTTTCGAGGATAAAAAATTGAAACGGGCAGAAAGAAAGTGTTTGGTGCAACACTTTACCAAAATTGAAAACAAAAATGTTTTTGTATTTTTTCCAAAAACTATCACATTTCTGAAAACGACCTAAACTCATTTTCGTTTTCTCCATTTTCATTTTCTCTCTTCTCTAAAATTTTTTTCTGCCTTTCACCAGTCTCGTCGTAGTACTCTTTAGGCCCTCTTCTCTGTTCTCTTCTCGCCCGATCTACTCTGTTTGCTTCTCGCCCGATCTGCTATATTCTCTTCTCGCCTGATCTGCTCCGTTCTCGTCTCGCCCTCTTCTCCGATCTCTGATTCTTTGCGCCGCCCCTACTCCCCCAAATCAACTGACTCTTTGCCGCCCCAACTCCCCCAAATCAACCGAGGTATGCCCCTAATCTAGTTATTGTCATTTTAAGTAGGTATTTTTTCTGATTTGCTGATGATTTGTTGAGTATTGCCGGTTGGCTCATTTTTAGAGGTTCAGGATGTATGCCGAGACATCTAGGTTGGCTAGAGTATTACTGATGGTTTTTAGAGGTTCTGATTTGCTGGTGTTTAGGTTGTATGCCAGTTGGGTGTTTTTTTTTTTTTTTTTTTTTTTTTTACTTTTGCTGATATGTGTGTTATGGGGTTTATATGTGTGATGTCTTTTTTTTCCTAACAAAGTCTTCATTTTCCAAGTTTAACAAGCCAATCTAGAGAAAGAAAGTTATTAGAATCAAGAGCAAGAATTGTTAGAGATGCAAATAATCGCTGTTTTCTCCAACAACAATATATATATATATATAATAAAACTTAAAGCGCCAACAACAAGATGAATTAAATAAAAATTTATGCGTTGAGTAGTGTAATGCATTATGATTATCTAATACTAACTACTATATAAGATTTTTAGCTTGGGAGACTGAAATTCTACTTTTTCCCCCACTTATTACAAAGTTTTACTTGGTATGTCTTTAAATGTATCTCAAAGTCAATGCCAAACAGAACAGGAGGTTAATCCTCACCTTAATTTGTTCGTGAAATCACTACACAGTCTACACTTGAAGTTGAACATAATCTCCAAAGTGCAAAACACATTTCCGACCGTTCTCATTTTTCTTTCATCCTAATAAGGTTACTTACATACAAGGATTAATTATGGATAACAATAAACAGATTATAAATTTACAGTCACCAACACAGATTAAGGTCAATATGAACTATGCAACTTCAAAAGAAAACAGGTGTAGGGATCAATAGATTCATGTAACTGATGAAGCATAATAGAATCACCAGTAGGCCTTATATTTTTTATGGACCCCTAATGTATCTGATAAGAATTTCGTTCAGAAACAATTCACAAATTCACAACAAAATAACCAGTTGATCAAAAGTAGTTTCTGATTACTTTTAATTGAGAAAATGAAAGAAACACAAGGATAAGCGGGTATTCGAGTGACACATTGCACTCCATGTAGCAAAAGCTCGTCTAAAGCACAATTGGATTTGTTCGTTTAGTTCGTTGTAAAAGTAAGCAATTATAGCAACAGAATAAGACAGTGTAAGAAGCTACTTATGCAATTGGCTTTTACAAGGATTTTTTTAATTTTTTTCCCCAATGCCCTGTTCTAAACCATTTCCTTGTGCATAGTTCCATTGCATATCTTAAAGGAATGCCATTTTATTTGGTGTCATTTCTATTTCCTCCGCTTGTAAGTGGTTGCTAAAAACTTAATGCTCGTTTTTGGTTTCTGGTATGCATCTCTGCGTTGCCTCAGTATATGTTTAACTTTGACCATATCGCTTTAACTCTTCGGAGCGAGAAAAAAAAAAGAAGTAATTAGACGGTTGATATTCAAATGGTAGGGTGAAAATTATTGCTCATTTATAGACTATGATTTTTTTTAATGTTGAATGGAACTGTTCTTTTAGATGTGTGATAAGGATGATAATACAAAATGGCCTGCTGCAATTGATGATTTTTATGTAGAACTGATATATGAGGAGGCAAAGAATGGTCTGCATACTTCCACTTTGGACAAAAAAAACGTGGATGAAAATTGTGTTGGAAAATTAATGGCATCGAGTGCGCAGCGGAATTTAAAAAAATTTAATCAACGTCAAAGCCAAAACAAGAACATGTTCATGATGCTATATAACATAAATACTAAAGATCTAAAACATACCTCTTGAGATTTCAGGAAACTGCACGTCTGACAGATCTAAGCGTTCCAAACAGCAACCAGAAGAGCCTCAACCAAATGCTCTTCTTTGCTATTCTCGTTTCCACAATCGGTGTGCGGGTGGGCACACGTCGTTTAATCTCCTCTAGGTATTCTTAATCTCCTTCCAATCACAAGAGAGCCAGATAAATAATTATTCTTGAGAATTAAACAATTTTTTCTCTCAGGAATCTTTTATCAATAGCCTCCAAAAAGTCTCTCAAGTAATCTAATGAGTAATGTGACTTAATAGGCTATTTATAGTGTTTAGGAAGTCATACTTCCGTAATAATTAGGTTTTCCAAAATTCTAATCGCATCCAGAGTCGATTTTACCACGTCAACATGCATTTTACGTTACAACCGGTCGACCGGTGACAGAGATGTTATAACTCACCGGTCGACATGTCTTCACTGACCGGTTGACCTGTCTACACTGACGAAAGTTGTTTTCCTAGTTTTCCAATACGAGAAACTTGCATAGAGCCTCAGTTTTGATTCAAGCAACCCAATAGAGAAATTGTCTTATCAAAACAGTCATATAATAGTCTTCTCATATTAAACAACTCTTAAAACAATAATCAACCAATTTTATCTAGAATTAATTTATCAATTAATTCACCCGATAAATCACCCACGAATTAACTTTGAACCTCTTTTACGGAAATAACACAAGTTACCAATGTGTAGGAAATACACCGTATCGTTACAGGAAATTATGTGAGCTAGCAAAGGGACCCGATGGACATATATAAATCAAGCTCCTATAATCACAA